TTGGTCCACTGCTTTTTAACTTGTTCATTAATGATTTGGAGATGGGAGTAAGCAGTGAAGTGGCTAAATTTGCGGATGATACAAAGTTGTTCAGGGTGGTGAAAACCAGTGAGGATTGTGAGGCACTCCAAGGGGATCTGTCAAGGATGGGCGAGTGGGCGTCAACATGGCAAATGGGGTTCAATGTGGCCAAGTGCAAGGTGATGCACATTGGAGCCAAAAATCCTAAATATAAATACACATTGATGGGGTCTGAACTGGCAGAGACTGAGCAAGAGAGAGATCTTGGAGTTGTAGTGGATAACTCACTGAAAATGTCGAGACAGTGTGTGACTGCAATAAAGAAGGCCAATGCTATGCTGGGGATTATTAGGAAGGGTATTGAAAACAGATCAGCCAATATAATAATGCCCCTATATAAATCAATGGTGAGACCTCATTTGGAATACTGTGTGCAGTTCTGGGCACCACACCTTAAAAAGGATATTATAGCTTTGGAAAAAGTGCAGAAAAGGGCAACTCGAATGATAAAAGGGTTGGAACACTTTCCCTATGAGGAAAGGTTAAAGCGCTTAGGGCTCTTTAGCTTGGAGAAAAGACGACTGAGGGGTGACATGATCGAGGTTTATAAGATTATGCATGGGAAAGAGATTGGCGTCTCTTATGTTCTTATCCGTTAGAGGTTGCAAGTGCATGAATATAAGCAGGGCTCCGGCCCTGCTATAGTTGTCTTAGAGTTAAGCTGAAATCACTAATAAACTATGAGCTGATCACTATACATGTCTCGAACCCAGTGTATTTCAAACTTGAATCACCTTACAAAGCCTCCAGTAATTTCAGCTGATGTACTTACAATGTCACAAGTTAAATTATATATATAACTGCCTGCTTAGCTCAAAGCTTTACATAAAAAGGTTACCCAAGAAATAAATACGAGCAACCAAGTGCATAGAGGGAAACGAGATCCCTGATGTGGCACATGGCTGAAGTCTAACAAACATCACTTTATGCTGTATTTGTAGATCTAAAAGCAGCTTTTGACAGTTTCAATATCTAGGCTTTGGGAAAAATTACACGCTTTCACAATTGATAAACGACAGCTCTTTCTCATCCGGGCCATTCATGAGCAAACTGCCCTCAGAGTTAGGTGCGGTCGTCTAGGGCATCTGACTGATCCCGTCCAAACCTTTAAGGGAGTCAGGCAGGGTTGTCTCCTAGCCCCTTCTTCGTTTCTTTTTTACATCAATAATCTGGCAAATTTTATGTCAGATCCTGGATTTCATCCCCTTAAACTAGCAAATTGGCACATTCAAGTGTTACTATACATGGGTGATGCCATAATGTTTTCCAGAACTCCTGTAGGGCTGAAACGGGCTCTGAAAAAATTCTCCCTTTACTGTGACACTGAACATCTTATAATTAATTATCAGAAAACTAAGGTTCTGGATTTCGGGGAAAACTCCAAGATCAGACGATGGGAACTTCAGGGGCATAAACTAGAACAAGTCTCCAGCTTCAAATATCTGGGCATAGTTTTACAAGCTTCCGGCACCAATATAATTCATAGTAAATTTGCAGCCGATGCAGGAGAGAAAACAGCAAATAGTATTTTGAAATGTCATCGGTCTCATGGGGGGCACTATGTTCCGGCTGCTCTTAGATTGTTTAAAGCTAAGTCACTGGCCCAGCTGACTTATGGAACATTCCTGGGGCCACCATCTTCCTCCTTTACCCCACTAGAGAGAGTTCAGTCTAAATTCTTTAGAGCATTATTACAAGAACCTAAGTGTATATCAAACCCTTGGGTCAGATTGGAAACAGGAATGCTTTGGGTAGAGGCTAATATTCATATCCTTTTAATTTCTAAATGGATAACAGGAAATATAAATCCCAGGGGCCTGTTCCCTTTAATCCTTCAGGACCAATTCCAGTCCAGTTGGCACAGAGCAATCTTGAACTCCATCCAGAAATTAGGCTTTTCTTCCCAAGCCCTTCTGGATCACGGTATAGACCAGGCAAAATCACTTATTAAGCGGAGAGTGACTGACACTGAAAGACAATTGGATTATTTTCTTGCCAGTAAATACCAGATATAGAGTCGCTCCTGCAGCCTATTTACATTTTCTTGAATCCAATAACTCAAGAAGGGCATTCACGTTAGCCAGAAGCATGTCCTTGCAGTCTGCAATATTGGAAGGGAGGTTTAAAGGGACCCCTTACTCACTGAGGTGCGGCTCCTGCCCCCTCCATGAAATAGACTCTCTAGAACACATATTTTTCAATTGCATATATATACTATAGGGTGATCGGTATGGAGACTATTAGTCCGCTCTTAGAAAGGTTTCCTGGCAGATCAAATAAAATTATTGATTACCTCCTGTCTGACAGGAATCATCGGACAACAAGACAGGTCGCTAGATTTTGTGCCCAGGTTTACAAGGAGCATAAAATGCATGGCAATTAGATTTTCTATTCTTTTATCTAAAACATACACAAATTTTATGGCTGTTTTATCTCTATCTTACAGTCACAGATTTTTAAATTTAAGTATGCCATTGTTGGTTTTATCTCATATTTCTTATACAAATGATTGAGTGAGCTGGTCGTTGGACTGTAACAATAAAGTTGATTTGATTTGATTTGATTTGAAGTCTATATTAGACAGGTTGTTCTAAAAATAGCAGTTGCCCAAAAATGCTGTAGACTTGGCTGGCTTTCATTGGGGTTCCTCTCAACATGGCTGTCTCTCAGCCTGAACTTGAAAACAATGAATGGGAAATTTCACTTGTGATTTTTTTTCTCGCACACTTCGTCAAATCTCATTGGATTCAAGTCAGAGAACAAGCCTGTAACAACTCGAATTGCCATGTATTTTGATAGGAAATTTTTATTCTCTTATTTTTTTATAATCTGTTTCTGGCCTGAGGATTGCTTTAAGGGTCTTTTTTAGGTTGCTAAATCTTTTATGCTCTAGTTTTTTTGTTTCTTTGGTTGGTTTTCTACTCTGCATTTTTATTGACTAGCTTTATGATTTTATCTTTTGTTTTGTGCACCTCCTTGAGGAGGTCTTTTAAAAGGTGGTGTATAAATGTTTTAAATAAATAATTATATTACTCATCACTGCCGACAGCACAATTAATTGAATTAAAATGTATGTATTTAAAGTGCTGTAGAAAATAACAGTTGTAAAACCCCCATCCTGTGCTTGTACTTGTTCTGTCAAATGATTTCTTAGAATAGGGTGACCTGCATACTCTGAGGGAATAATATATAGTTGTAGTCATGGCTGTTGTGTCAACGTGACAGAGAGATACATTAGGAGGAATATCTATGACTGGGGTATATAATTAGCTTTTGTCTTTATTTGCGTTCTTATTTCTGTCCTATTAAATGCCAGAACATAGTTCATTTCTTAAGCCTATAATAAAATAGCTAAACCTACACAGGGAACCATCCACCAACCACCTCCATTACAGGTGTTTTTAGAGAATAGTGCTCAGTGTAGTGTGATCAGCTGGTGATATTAGTAAGAGGCTTCATGGTTCTGGTCTCTCCACATAATTTCTGTTATATACCGTGCATTTATAAGGAGAACAGGAAGAAAACCATAAAAACAGGATATATTATGCATTGATTTTGTTGTTAATTTTTATGTTGGTTACAGTACACAGTATTGTAATTATGATCTGATTAAATAACATGTGAATTATTAACCTAATGCATAGGTTCCCTAACTTATTTGGCCTACCACCAAAAGGCTGCTTTAGATAGTTTCTGGACTCTTCTTTCTTTATGCTTCCACCACCCCCTTATTTGTATTCAATGCCACCCAATTGCACCCAAGACTTTAACCACCTACCTGGATCATTCCAGCACCCTCAGGAGGCGGTATTGCCCACTTTGGGAACCAGTGTAAGGGTTGTCAAATGTTGCTGTGGAAATTTAAAAGAAATCTGATTGTAATCCTAAAGTAACAGTTGAAAACATTAAACAGCTGGACTCTATCTGGCTGAATGCCAATTAAAATATATTTTGATGAATGAAAAATAATAGTTGCTTACAGTCATGGTTTTCCAGATAAATTATCAAACATCTGTGTATATTTTCTACTCATTTCTGGCATATCCAGAACACTTGATTTTCTAAATGTTACAAAGACCATCTCCACCATTATATCTGTGCAATGAACTAGCAAAACAAAAATGTTAAAACAGAGACCTCTCCCCAATTACGTTTTGCTAGATTGTCATTAGTGAAGTTCCCCTCAGCTAAAGTATCATTGTAGGATTTGGCTAGGGTTGCAAGACCCCTCGGTCCAAGCGGGGGTTCCCCTGATTTCTGGGGCTCCAGCCTGCTGCCAGCCAGTTGGCCAGCAGGAGAAGCCCTACCCCCGAACAAGCACATTGTGCATTGATGTTAACAGCACGTTGATGTCATGTGAAAGTGACGTCATCATGCTGGAGATTTTGTGCTGCGACACTCTAGCTTTTTGGCCAAAACTCTATGGTAAACTTCTGTGTGATGTTATCAAGCTGACAACATCACCCTGCACCCCACGCCTGGAAGGCTCCCTTCCACCACCCGCCAGCAGAAACATCCAATGTGGCAACCCTAGATTTGGCAGACTCATGTTTGAATCTCCTTTTTGTTATGTAAACTTCCTGGGTAAACAGAAATCTCTCTCAGTGTAAAATCTACCTCACAGGGTAGTTCTTATGAGGGAAAAAATGATGAAAGTGGGAATGATGTTGTAAGCTTCTTTTGGTCCTCATTAAAGAAGAAAAGAAGGATATAAATATATACAGAAATAATTTTGAAATTAAGCTTGACTGATACCTATTTTTGAGAAAATGCAAACTCTTTTGCTTTCCCAGTGATCTCATTAATGGTGTTCATAAAAAGTGCTCCTGTTTGCTCTTTTGTGTTGTCAGCTTTTATGCTGCATTTGTTTTATCTGTTTTGAAAAGTAGTGCTAATGTAATAATATTATGTTCTTACAGGGGACTTTTCATTACTCCACATGACCGAGGACATGTTGCAACAATACTTAGATCATGGCCTGCACCTACCATCAAGGTAGGTGGATCTTTACCTGCAATACCGGTTTGTTGTCATGCATCTCTGACTTAACTAGAACTAAACACAGAGGGGCTATTTAGAATTCAGATTTGCTTATAGGCATAGTGATGCAAGTTAGATGAGCTACAATATCATCTTAGTCAACTATATTGTACCATTATTGACAGCAGTTTGACATACAAAAAACTCCAGCAGCTGAAAAAAAAGGGCACATCAGAGACACATGCAAGCTCACAATCCCTTTCTCTTAACATGTTGGTTACAAAATATCAGGGAGAATTCAGAGATTTGATTCCCCATTGGTAGTCTGTAGTGGAACAGCCTAGCAAGGGCTGTGACATATGATTCTGCTAGGGATGTCTACAAAAAAAGTGGTATAAAATAAGGGAGAAAAACATTACATTGTTCAGGACATGATTTTTTTCTTTTGCCATTTTGTAAGTTCATTCAATTCTGAATATAAGTTATAAAGATATACTTTGCTGTTGGTTGAATCTTCCAAGGTGCTGTGCCAGCAAATAACTAGTTGTGATTACCCCGTGTTAGCAATCATGATGTTCCAGTCTGACCCATGATGCCATCCTGGCACATGCTCCCTATAATTAGATAAGGTGCTAAAAAAGTCTTGCTTGGTGCATAACGCTGGGGCAGGGAGATAACAGAGTGCATAGTCGGGGAATGATCATGGACTTGATCTGCATTTGACATGGAGTTTGGCTACCACTATATCAGTAACATTAATACAATCCTACATTATTTGGGCATAAATTCGGACTGCATTTAAAATGTAGTAAAACAATAGACATGTCCCATTTCCTATAGCATGTGACAGCTATTTTCATTGACGTTCACTGATGAACATTGTTGTATGTATTCTTCTTGCATATATAGATAAATTTACAGACTGGAGGGAATTTTCTCTTTAGAAGTTCTAAATAAATTCTTCATCAGAATTGTGACCACTCCAGTAAATCAAAAAGGGCAACACATTGATAAGCAAAGACAATTTGGTGGCGTTCTGAATTATCTTGGCTATCTTTGTTGTTGTTTTTCAAGGCCAACTGTAGTAATTACATATTTTAACAAATGCCTATATTAGTGCTTCTATAGTACACTTATAGTACATTACATACATTGAACATCATCGGATTTTCTTTCAAAAACAAATTCTAAAAGAACCCATAAAATATTTGCTGGACTTGAAATACGTTCTTGGTGAATTATCTGTGGCCTTAATTAAGTTTACTATTATGTAGCTTATGTGTTTACTAGGAATAAGGCCCATAGTGGAAATAGTGGACAGAACCAAGCTTGGTTGCCTAGCAACAGCCACTAAGGGAAAAGTTAGTCCCATAGGAGCTAAGAAGGAGAAGTGTCTTCATCAGGAGAGACAGCCATTTTGGTAATTTTTTTCTGTGAGGGAAGGGTGTCCAGGCTGGCAGTGTGCGTGGGAGAGGAGTGGACCCAGCACCCAGCCAGTGGCACACGAGTACTCTTGAGTGGCGGTTGATGGGCCAATGGCTGATGGAGCACACAGCACAGCCAGTGGGAGAGCTGGAAATAGCCAATACGTAAGGGAATGTTTTATATATATATATAGGATAAGAATAAACCGCAAGTGACATATAAGTAGAACACCAGTGAAGGTTCAGGGTGGCATATCTGCCACACATATCAGATCCCAGACAGTAAGATCCTGCACACTCTAAGTCCCTCAGCTTACTCATATCAGCCTGTCTGATCCTCTCTGTCTCTTTCCATCTCAAACTGCTTGATCCTTTTCATACAGACACAAGCCTGTCCCCCTGACTTCAGCAGGAGAGTTCACTTCTTCAAATTCTCCTTGTGAGGGGCACTAGGGGACTTTGTTTGTCCCAAATCTTAGCCATGATGCTTTCTTTTTCTCTGTCTCTCTAAGCTCTGTGTTTCGCCAGCAGACTGCTTCCAGCAGCTTTTCAATGCATTTGTCTTGCAAAAGAACCAAGCCTGTCAACCAGCTCTCTCATTTAGCTGCTGAGGGAGGCATTCAGTACCTTGGATCCACAGACTTTTCCAGTGGTACCAGTACTAGTTAAGCTGCTTTACCTGGTTAAAGGGGCTGGGCCCATGACCTATTGAGGTTAACTGGTTTAGTTAGTCCCATCACCATTAGTTAGCAGAGTGCTTAAATAAAGCTACAAATGCAGGAGCGTCACTTTACCAGGTTACTCAGCTTACAAAGCTACACAGAGCCACATTGCAAGTTTAGAAGAGAAATACTTCTCTCATTATTTGAAAAGTACACTTTGGATAGGAAAGAGCAGAAATTGATAGATTACTAACTTACTAGCTAAAGGATGGAGGCGGATGGCGAGAGGCCCATCTGCCTCATGGTGCCAAGAGAGGACAGCATGTCCCTTGGTGCGGTAGAGAGCAAGTCTTCATTCAGAGTGAGAGATGCAGGAAAAGGGAAACTGGTCCCTGAGATTACAGTCTACATATCAAAGAGGACAGTGGCAGAAGAGAAGATACAGGAAGAAAGGTCAGTGTGCCTATCTAGCTATCTATCCTGTCTTGTCACTCAGTCTGGAGGTCTGAGGCAGGGTACAATGCATCTGGAACTACCAACACTTCCTAACCATATGTATCTGGGAAAAAAACCCATTTCCAACAGGAGACCAGGATCCAGCAAGACTCCCAAGCTTTTAATATCTGTGTTTCAGCGACAGCTGCACATCACTGATGGTAGGAAACACAATCCCATTTAAAGCAGTAGCCCTTCCAACCAGGATCACTGCAGCTTGTTTTGTCTCAGCCACTTGAACACCTTGTTCAGACACTGGGCCAAGACAGAAACAGCAGCCAGTGAGGTAGTATATAGCTGGATGCCATCAGCATTGCCTGCCAGACAGCAGCTGACTTGTATGCATGATTAATTAATATGACTCAATTGAGATTCAAGCTGTTTTAATTGTGTGGGCCATCTTGTACGGTTTGCAGTTTGGACTAGGGGTCCTGTAGATCTTTAATCTAATCGCAAGACTCTGTTGGCAAATATCTTTACGCTGGAAAATATGAGATGCTAGGGCCAGCACAGTGTCATTGCTCTGCAGGGATGTTGCAACAACATATTAGTCAGATACGTTATGTTGATTCAAGAATTTAGGAATTCAGGGTACCAGGTTTCTTTTGTGTTTCACTCCTAGAAGCTAATCTAATAAAATAATTAATTATTCCAGCATCTCAGAGACAAATGCAGCATACTAAAATGGATTTTTTTACTACTGTATTTAAAAATAAAGTAAAATAGAAGCAACTTGTTTTAAAAAAATTGATATAAAAGGATCTTAGGATATGTTGACAGTTTTACAGTGCTTATGATACTTTCCCTCTAGGCTATTGTGGTGACTGATGGAGAACGTATTCTTGGCCTTGGAGACCTTGGCTGTTATGGAATGGGCATCCCAGTGGGTAAACTAACACTTTACACAGCGTGTGGAGGAATGAAGCCCCAGGAGTGTCTGCCAGTTATGCTTGATGTGGGAACTGACAATGAGGTAAATGCTGTGCCATGCTGGTATGATCATTTGATATATTTCAAAGGGAAAACCTACAAAACACTGCTGTACTCTTTGCCTGTTGAACTAAAATGTTTAACATAACCTCCAAGGAAAAAAATTGCTTTTATGATGATAGATCCGATGGGTTGGTCATAGTAACTCGTCTTGCAGAAAGTTGCATCTTCTCCAGTAGATGCTGTGGTGGTTACAAGCACAGAGGCAGAGCCATATGTGTAAAGCACAACTGAACATAAGGGAAGCTCCTTTGATACAACTGTTAGTGTACGACGAGATCTCTGATGGGATTTTGATATTTTGTAAGGTTAAAGAACAGCCACAGGGAGTTTCAGTCCCTTTCCTCTCATCATATTTTTCTTATAGAAACAAGCTTTTCCTGCCTCTCTGCGCCCCTATGAGTCATGGTGTATGTGTGTGTGTGTGGGGGGGGAAGACAAGTATTATACCTGTTCTTTTCCCTCCTGTGGCAAATAGAAGTTCCCTATGTGTGTATATAATTTATATTGTAAAAAGTGCATGGAGGAAAGAGCAGCCGCCACATGCCATGATCCCAGTCTAGGAGAAAGAACAATAAAACATGTAGTAGAGTAAATTCCATGCTCTTGTGCTTTTTCATAGCAGAGCATGGGCGTGGGTTCCTATAATGACAAGCTATATACTATTTCTAGAACCCCAATTGGATTGAGAAGGGCAATTAAGAAGTTTGCTTGCTATTGCAGTGAGCAGGAGCTGGATATAAATTATACAAAGACAAAGGTGATGGCCTTTGGCAAGAGACCCAAACTAAGGAAGTGGAGGGTAAACGGGCGGAACCTCGAACAGGTAGCTAGTTTTCGCTATCTGGGCATGATCATCCAACCCTCTGGATCTAGGACTGCCCATAGCCAGGCAGCTGCTTGCTCGGGTGAAAAATCCTCTCATGGCATTCTTAAGTTTTTCCGCTCCCAAGGGGGCTATTTTGTACCACCAGCTTTAAAACTTTACAAGGCCAAAACACTTGCCCAGATGCTCTACGGAACGCTGCTTGGAGCGCCTCCATCTAGCTATGCTCCTTTGGAGCTAGTCCAATTGAAATTTTTGAGAGCAGTGCTCCAAGTTCCGAGATGCGTATCTAATGCAATGGTACGGCTAGAGACTGGCATGCTGAAGGATGAAGCCATGATTGCCTTATACTCCATCTTCTATTGGCTGAAGATTAATCTGAACCCATGTGGACTAGTGCCCCTGATTCTGTCTGATGCCTTTGAATCTAATTGGCTGATTTCTGTTAAGCGGAAAATCTCGCTCTTGGGGTATTCTCCCTCAGTGCTTTTGGAGATGGGTAGGGACCGGGCTAAGTTAGAAATTAGACAGAGGATCAAGGATACCGAACGTCAATTAGATCTACAGGTGTCCCCAACATTTATAGCGCCAATTAGAATTAAATACATGGTTGCGCAGGCCCCATATCTTAACGTTTTGGAGTCCCGTAAACTTAGGAGGGCATATACTCTGGCCAGATGCTCGGCCTTACCCTCTGCAGTTCTTGAGGGCAAATTTAAACAAATACCCCGAACAGAGAGGCTATGCTTGTGTGCGTTGGGGGAGATTGAATCCCAGGAACATGTGTTCCTAAGATGCCCGGTATTTGAAGAGGCTCGTACTAAACTTATTGATCCCCTTCTGGCAGGCACTTCGGATCAGGACAAGGTGGAGAACTTGTCTCTTAACCTTGAACACACAGTGCTCCATCAGATTGCGAAATTTTGTTCCTTGGTGGTAGAAGCGCATCAGCATGATGGTTGGCACTCGGGTTAGGACTGTTGATTTTAACTCGTACCGTTCCCTTTGGTAATATGTTTTATTCTTTTATACTATACTGTGTTTTATGGCAGCGTACTTTTAGTTTGGTTTTAATGAACGTAACGTTTATAATGTTAGCTCTTTTTACCTTGCTGAATTTTGGAAATTTTACTATTTGGCCATTCTAATTTATTTTTTCTGGTTTTATATTGCTGGCTAATCGCTGTTACAATAAAATTCATTCATACTATTAGAGACATGTGGCCCCTATCTGCGGAGACCTAAATCCACGGATGGGGGCCACATGGACACTAAATAGATTTTTCAGGAAACTTGGGGGACTCTCCAGCTTTGGAGAAAAATGCAATGTTCAACCCCACCCCCATGGGGGGCTAATTCTCCCAAAAGAAAAAATAGCCTTCTCTACACAAGCACAGAGAATGTTCCTACCTCTGGCAGTTGTCGGAGGAACCGAGGAGCCATGCTTGTTCCTGCAGTGGTGGCTGCACAACCTGGGGCTCCGCACTGGGCCTGGCAGCGGCTGCGCAGCTCAGGGCTCTGCGTGGCCCAGTGGTGGCCATGTAGTCCAGGAGCCATGCTGGGCCTGGCAGTTGCATAGTCTGGGACTTGTGCTGGGCATGCCACCAGAGGCACAGCCCAGGAGTCCCACAGGGCATGCTACTGCTGGTGGCTCAGCCTGGGAGTTAGGCTGAGCCCGCTGGCGGTGGAGGTGCAGCTCGGGAGTCACAGCAGACCTGCTGACAGAGGAGGCACATGCCTGGGAGTTGTGCTGGCTGTGGGCCTGGTGAGAATGTAGGGAACCCCCCCCCATGAGTACTGTGGGCCTACACCTGTACATTTTATTATTGTTACTTGTATTACCAGTATAACCCTCATATTATATTAGGAAAGATTCTGTATTATTATTGCTTAAAGATTTTCCACTTTATTAAACGGGTTCCAACAAAAAAGTACATATAAAACTATTCTTTAAAATTATATATTTCATAAAATAAATGTGAAACATCTTGGCCCATTAATAATAGGAATGCCTGAGCACATGGCAGTTCCTCTCTAAATTATGAAGTGAGGAATGTTGTACATTGCTGCAATGCAAACCGCGTGGAAATGTTTTGTATAAGGTTATTTTTTGGTATAACGTTATTTGAATATACTGAGCTGTACAGGGAGAATTTAGTGAAATGGAGATTGATGAAATAATTTTGGATGGTTTAAAACTGTGTAGTGATAAAAAGGATGCAAGAGCATCAAATATTTTTGTAAGGACATCTGCCCATTTATAGGCATTCCTCCAGAAAATTAAAAGCAATACACAGTTACGTATAGTGTGGGTTTATCAGCCAGCAAAATGAAGAGAATTGTGGAATTCATTGCAAAAGAGATAACAGGTCAGTATAATTGTCTCCTGTAAACTGAAGCAATCATTCTCAGAAGAGCGTAAATGTATAAAGGGTAGTTGGGAATTTCCTGATGGAAACTATTTTAATCAGAACCCAGGCTTTCATTGAAACTGGTATGCTATGATCTTTTTATATGGCCATGATGGCAGCTGTTTTAGTGCCTGGTCTAAACACTGAAAGTTCTTTAAAAGTTCATTCACACAGCCTGATCATGGAGGTCAGATGTGGAAATGATATAACACTTCTACTTTGGACAGAAAATACTACACGAGGCATAATGTTTCTGTCTTCAACTTATGCCTTGTGGGCTGATTGAACAAGGAATGCCATTTCAACTTTTTTGCTGTATGTAAAAATATCTATGGCCATCACTGTTCCAATCCTCCATTTTGGATTCAAAACATGAAAAAGAGCCCCTCAAAGTAAGTAGTTCCATGTAGTTGTAGCGCAAGACTGAATAGCAAGTGTGTATGGATTTCCTTTCTTCCTGGGACTGGGAGGGGAAAGCAAACACAAGGAATTGAAGGGCTTTTAAAAGCTGATCTAGATGGTCCAGACAAGCTTGATCTCATCAGATCTTGGAAGTTAAGCATGATCAGCCCTTGTTAGAACTTGGATGGAAGACCTCGCCTTGAAAACCTCATGGACTCGCCATAAGTCAGCTGCTACTTGATGGCACTTTCCACCAGTCTTCTTCTCCCACTCCCTCCCATTTGGGCCAGGCCTACCAACAACCACTGGGCAACTTGCCACCATAAGACATGCATGACTCATCCGAGGCTGTTTGCTTGCTCCTGTTCAATAGCAGCCACTTTAGGACAGCCGGTGTGGTGTAGTGGTTTGTGTTTCAGGCTCGGATCTTATGAGACCCAGTTTAAAAACACCCCCCAGTTGCAGAACCTCTCTGGATGACCTTGGGCCTGTTACACATTCTCAGCCTAACAAAGTTTGAATTCAGTGGGACCTGTAAAACCAACAAAATTTTATTCTGGGTATAAGCTTTCATGTGCATGCACACATCTTCAGGTACATTGAAACAGAGTCACCAGTCATTACATATAGGTAGCTGTTGAGGAGGATGTTGCCAGGAAGGGCCAATTAGAGTTAAGATTGGATTAAGGCAATTGGTAAAACCTGTGAATAGCAGCAAATATAGCTAAAATAGGCAATTCGTATTCTCAGGTCTTACCAATTGTCTTAATCCAAATTTAGCTCTAATTGGCCCTTTCTGGCAACATCCTCCTCACCTGCTACCTATATGTAATGGTTGGTGACTCTGTTTCAGTGTATCTGAAGAAGTGTGCTTGTTGGTCTTAAAGGTGCCACAGGCCTAGGGTTGCCAGGTCCCCTTGTTGCTTTGGCAGGGAGATTTGGGGGTGTTCTGGGGGTGGGCGGGGATGCCCCAAGCCCCACCCAAGCCCTGCCCCCAAGAGTGACCACCTGCCTGGCCACCCCTCTCCCTCCCCTCCTGCCCAATTTAAAAGGCTTCAGCTGATTGGCAGTGATCACATGATCTGCCGATCAGCTGGAGAGCCCTTTAAATTTAGCAGGAAGGATGGAGAGGAGCGGTCACGGGCCATATGCTCAGCTTGCAAAAAAAATGCTTTAAAGGGTCTTTTGTGAGTGGGGTGGGGGCCACAACATGGGCGGCTGGGGGAAATCAGCCCCACGTATCGTGGCCCCCACCCCACTCGCAAAACGAACCTTTAAAGGGATATTTTGCAAGACGAATGTGCGGCCTGTGACCGCACCTCTCCTTCTCTCCTGCTAGGTTTA